CCACACACACACACACACACACACACACACACACACACACACACACTTCTCTCTCCCCCGCGGCTCTCAGGAGCTATCCCGCCAGCGCATGGACGGTGTGTCATTCGACCTGAGCCGGCTGTTGGACTTTGGCGAGCGGGTGGTGTGGAGCGGCCCGGTGCTGGCGCTAACCCCGCTGGTACGGGAGCAGGGGCACCTCGCCATCACCCCCGCCAGGGTGTACTTCCAACCGCTGCACAACATTGCAGGTGGGTGGGGTGGGGGGGGGGCATTGGGAGGTAAAGGGGGGAGGGGCCCGCCTGACTTATGCCGAAGGGGGCGTGTGGCAGTGATGGCGCACTGGGTGATGTCTGTGTGTGTATGTATGTATGTATGTATGTATGTATGTATGTATGTATGTATGTATGTATGTATGTATGTGTTGTATGTGTGTGTGAGTATCAAGGTTACAAGTATCTGAACGGGCCTGACACTGGCCCGGCGTGTGTGTATCAAACACCACTTTTTCTGTAGTTTCTGCGTTACCCTATCTCTCTCAAGTACGAACGTGCCAAGGCATAGTAACCTCCCTGGGGTCCGGAGCCAGGGGGGGAAACCCAAGGGCCCTGAGGGGGCTGACGGCTGTCTGAAATACAATTCTGATATCGACAAATATCGCCAGAAGAAAACTATATATTATTATTATTATTATATTATATCGCTCGAAACGGAAAACTCATGTCAAAGCAATAAATCTATCGGGCCACTGGTATATTCTAACAGCAGCAGTGCGCCTTCTTGCTGTTGACGACCGTCCTTAGCCTTAGGTGTTGTGGTGGTGGAGACGGTTGTTGCCAACTTCAGCTGGTCGGTGGTAATAACGGTGGGTGGTCGGTGGTGGTGGTGGTGGGTGGTAGTGGTGATCTGGGAGGCACATGTGGAGGGGGAGGTTTTCGGGTGGCGACGATGAATTATTGGTCGGCTCCTCAGCAGGTTGGCGTACCTGTCAGGTGCAGTGTTGTTCCCTGAGGTAACTAGACGGGGGTGGGTAGGAGGGCTCTGGGGGCCACAGTGGGTCCGGTTGCATTTCGCTGCGTGCAGATCTCCCCGCCTTTCACCTTCCTCCCGCCCACACCACCCACCCGCCGCCTCCTGAACCCCGAATCCCCTCTCGTTGTTTTGGACTCCTACGGTGGTGTACGGCCTTGGACACGTCGGCAGTGGTTTTCTTTTGACTTTTAAATACCTGATATCTCTCCATCCCCCCTCTTCAACCCCCCTCCTAAACCCCCCGTCTCCACCCCCCCCCTAAACCCGCCCTCCTAAATCCCTGTCATCAGGTGACACGCCGGTGAAGAGCCACCCGCTGGCCGCAATAGCCGCAGTAGCACGCAGACGTAGCAGTCTCAGACCCGTGGGTCTGGAGCTGTTCTTCATACATCCAACCACCACCCCGGGCGCCGCTGCGACCACCGGAGCCGGGGTTGGAAGCGGGTCGGCGAGCTCCCCGGGGGGGAGGCCGCGACAACATAACCACCACCACCACCACCACCAGCAGGCGGTGGCGGCTGCGGCGGCAGTTGTTGGGGTTTCGGGGCCGATGTGGGATGCCCCCAGCGCCTTCTTCGCGTTCCGGTGTGTACGTGTGACGTACCTCTCTTTTTCTCTGGGTTTGTGTTTTTGTGTTTGTGTTCATCTAACCCGCGTTTTCGGGGGTGGTGGCGGCTTTGGCGGTTGGCGATATTGTAGGGGCCAACCCTATCCCCGCTCCCACTCCTCTGCACATTCCCAGATACCCCCTACCCCCCACTTACCCACCTATTACCCCCCACCTCTACTTTCCTCCCGCACACACATCCTACATGTGTGCGAATGTACGGGTACCAATTGACATCTGTTCGTATTCGTACACCTGGACACCAATGGGCGCCTATTCGTACGGCACGCAGCTCCGAAACCGACCGGGAGGCTGCTCGTCACTTGCTCACCATACAACCCGAACTGGGCCGCTGTGTACCCAGACATACACCACCACCACCATTACCACACTCCCACCACCACCACCAACAACAACAACAACAACAGCAACCAGCACAAGCACAAGCAGGTGGTGCCAGTGGTGGTATCGGCGGCGGTGGTATTGAAGTTCTCGATGATCCGTTGGCGGCGCACGGGTTGTTGTTGGAGGCTGCAGGGCCCTGGTTGCGGCGCGTCACCGCGGCTTGGCAGCGGGGGTCGCTCACCAACTTTGACTACCTGATGTACCTCAACTTCGCCGCGGGTGAGTGGAGGGGGGTGGAGCGGAGGTTGGAGGGGGGTTGGAGCTGCGTATTGTAAAGGGAAGGAGAGTGTTCAAAGGGACTCGGTCAATGAAACCGGGATAGAAGGGGGGGAGAGGTGTGGGTACCCCTAACCCGCGCACGAATGCCCCACACCACAACCGCGCTATACCCCCCCGCGGGCGTGTGGGGCAACCCACCTCACCCCACCCCACCTCACCCCACCTCAGAGCTCCGTTCCAACCCAGGTGCCCCGCATGCACGACACGTGTATTGTATCCGTACAAACCCCCTCCTCCCTTCCGTCGTCCTCCCGTCCGTCCGGCAGCTCGTTGTTTGGACTCGCCGCTCTTCTCTTCGCACCCTATGAGTTACCCCCGACCCCGCACTGAAAACATCGCCCCACCCCATCCCCCCCTCGAATCCCCTCTGGTACCGGTACTGGTACTTGTAATGGTAATGGTGCCAGGTCGAAGTTTTAACGACCTGGCGCAGTGGCCCGTATTCCCCTGGGTGCTCCGAAACTACGTATCCGCCACCCTGGATCTCAACGACCCCAACAACTTCAGGTAATAACGACGAATAAATGTTCGGCTTTTGGAACTCGGCCGGCCGTACTTTTTGGACGTCAGCAGTTTGACATCTTCCCTGCATGTTATCTCCAGCTCTCCTCTCTCTCTCACACACACACACACACACAATCACACACACAATCACACACAATCACACACAATCACACACACGCAATCACACACACAATCACACACACAATCACACACAACCACACACACAATCACACACACAATCACACACACAATCACACACACAATCACACACACAATCACACACACAATCACACACACAATCACACACACAATCACACACACAATCACACACACACACACAATCACACACACAATCACACACACAATCACACACACACACACACAATCACACACACAATCACTCCACTCCACCCCAACTCTACTTGCGTCTTCTTCCTTCCTGGATGGGTGCGTGTGTGTATGTGTGTGCGTGTGTGTTTTCTCCCCCTTCCCCCCTCCTTTTCTCCTTCAGAGACCTGTCCAAGCCAGTAGGTGCCCTCAACCCCACGCGGTTGGAGGAGTTCCGGAAGCGGTTCAGAGACATGCCGCACGACTCGTTCGAGGGATCCGTACCGCCGTTCCTGTACGGCACCCATTACTCCACTCCAGGGTGGGTGAGGGGAGGCCTGACAGGAGGGCGGGGTGGTTGGGTGGTTAGGTGGTTGGAGTTAAGCGGTTAAGGATGTCGGACGGCCACTATGGGTTTCCGGTACGGGGTCAATCCTGGTGTCCGGGATGTTGCGTGAGGAGGAAGGTCGAGGGGAGGGGGGAGGTAAGAGGTGAGGGGGGAGGAGGGGGGGAATGCGAGAGGGGGGAAACCCCCCAATGTAGGTTTTCGAGTTGTAGCTGGAACAGGCAACGCACATCCAATTTGCCGTGCGAATGTGCAGATGATGTGCTCTGCTCGTCCTCTCATAAACCTGCTTTGCCGTACGTACCATACAGGTACGTCATGTACTGGCTCGTACGTGCGGCTCCGAGCCACATGTTGAGGCTGCAGAACGGCCGTTTTGATGCGCCCGACCGTCTGTTTGCCTCCGTACAGGTACGGCAGGGGCGTGTTCGGGAGGACGACTGATCAGACCAGGGGTTTGCTTCCGTATGCACCGAGATCCCCCGGGGAGGGGGATGTTTGCTTCAGCCGTACAACCCACCATCGCGACACAAACGTCATACCGAAGTACAGTTTACGGTGTCCGCGATAACTATTGTTGGCCGAAGCAAAGCCGAGAAGAAGGGGCACCTCCTCCTGCACCCCTCACTCCCCCTCACCCCCCCTCACCCCCTCACCCCCCTCACCTCAGTTACACGTCAGTTACACCCCTGGTACACTCTTGCCCTGGCAGCAGCTTCACTCGTGTGTGGTTCGTCTTTCCCCTCCCCCTGGCCCCCCTCCTCACCCTCACCCGGTCCCGCCCTCTCGCACCGCAAAGGAAGCCTGGGAGGGGGTCCTCCACAGCACCACCGACGTGAAGGAGCTCATCCCGGAGTTCTTCATGCCCGGGTGGGACTTCCTTGTAAACCACCGCAGACTGCCGCTGGGAGTACGGCAAAACGGAAGGTAGGCGGCCAGGGGAGCGGCCTGCTGGCCAGGGCTGTGAGCGGCACCTGCTGCCCCCCTGCCGGCCTCTCCACGGTCTCCATGTGAGCCCCCTCCGAGACCGTGTGTCCGGCTCCGTGTGTGGGGGTTGTGAGTGTGTGTGTGCGTATTGGGGTGTGTATGTGTGTGTGTGGGGGGGGGAGAGGGGGTTAATCCGGATGCGGAACTGGTCCGGATTCTGCATTGCCCCTGTTCGATTCCTGTCGGCCGGAAGGCGCGAAACTCAGGGCGGGTCGCTTTGTATGTATGTATGTATGTATGTATGTATGTATGTATGTATGTATGTATGTATGACGTTGATTACACTGTGGGCTGAAAAGCCGGGGGCCCAGGGCCGAAGCACAGCGCGGGGGGCGGGTGCATACGGCTGGTTAGTCTCATGCACTCCGCCCCCGGGTCAGGCCGCACGGGAAACGACGGCCGGCACGCAACAGCGCTTGTTTGGCGCTCCAACTAGACGGGATCTATGCCCGTTGGTCTCCTAACATAAACGAAGTCGCAACTGGGGGGCTCTTCCTGCCGACCGAACGAACCGAGCATCTCAGAGAGCTCGCTACCAGGACTTGGGCGACCGGGAGCCCGACGAGTCTTCCCGGGCTGGGGAGGTCACCAAGCTCAAAAATCCTCACGCAAAAAAGAGCGCAAAGAGCTCACACCACAAGACGCCAAACAGCCTCCTGAGACTACTACCCTCCTCCGCCTCTCCCTCCCTGGGCTAGTCCAGGGGAGATAGCCCCCGTCGAGGGGGTAACACCGCACAAGTCCGCGCCCTTCCACAGCACTGGGTCTAAATTGAAAAGTACTCAAACGGGAAGACCCTGCGGCAACGCAGGGCGATCAAGC